TTGTGTGCATTTTTTGTGATTTCGCATAGATTCTCTGAATTCCTGCATTATTTGAAGCCATTCCTGGGATTCCAAGGTGAAATGTGCGACTTCTAGAGTATTTCCAGCGACATTGACAGTTTTAACCATTTCAGATGGACAATCAGACCAAACAATGATTTTCTTGGGTCATTTGGACGTTTTGCTGCGGCAATCTCAGAATTTCTATAACAAAACAATACAAAGCAGACTTTTCCTTCCATGTATTTCACAATTCAGTGCGCATGAATGACAGTGCCGCCTGGGCGCAGAGAGAGCAGACATCACATTGGGTTTGTGGCGCATGATGTTTTGGATTGTTTGCTTGCTGCAGGTCTCCTCGAGACAAAGAGCTATCCTTTTTCATGATGTCATGAATTGGGCAGTCTGTGCAGTGATCAGAGCTACAACAGAACGAGATGGATATAACGGAAACTTGTTTTTGCATGTCCCATGTTGCGCACGACTTGTGTAGTGAAGTGTAGTGCCAGGGTCATTGTAGCGTGAGGCATGAAGCTTGGCCGGAGAGCGAGCAGCTTTCTGGAAAGCCATGGGCCTGAAACCATGGATGATTTGGCTACCTGGGATTCCACATACTTGGCAGCCTTAAAGGGTACAAAGGAGGGCCGCATCCTCCATGACAATCTGCAGAGAAGCCTTCTTGTAGCGACAGACTTCAGCGGTTTTGATGCTCCCCGTGAGTGCTGCCGACTTATGTCAGAAGCCCTGGCACGCGAGTGGAATGAGTCTGTTCCAGTTGTACGCTTCGTGCGCTCTTGTGATTGGGGTAACTTACAGCAGCAAGTCCTCATGCTTGAAAGTCAGGTGTACGATGATGGTGGTGCATGCGTCTTTGGTAACATCCTGGATAGGCTGACAGAAGACCAGAAGCTGTGGATTGAAGCTGCGAGCCCATCAAAGGAGATGTCGCTAGAAGATGCGCAAGCTGCCAATTCCTTGATTCAATCGTTCATGGCCCAGAACCGAGACCAATTCTCAGTGGATGCAGAGTCGTATTGTTTCATGCATCGCCGAAAGTGCCCAGTGCATGTGAA